ACAGAGTGTACTCACTGCAGGTACACACACACACACACACACACACACACACACACACACACACACACACACACGTAATGTACTGTACACACATTTATACACTTTATCTACTGAAGTACCCTTCATTTAATAACAAAGTGTTTACAGTTGCTATTGAATGATCCTGTGAGATAATAAGTGTGTGTGTGTGTGTGTGTGTGCTGATGGTTGTATTTACTCTCCTCTGTGCAGTTTGACGGTGCGTTCGTGGTCAGCGGCTCGTTGGACACCTCCATCAGAGTCTGGAACGCAGTGACCGGTAAGATAAGAAGTACTTTGTTGATCCCAATTTGGGAAATGTTTGCATAACAGAAAATAGAATAATTTACCTATATTTATTTATGTGTATTTTTTATTATTTAACTGTATTTATTATTATAATTAAAGCATATACATAATTATTCAGTTAAATTATTAAGTGTTTTAATAATAATTAAAGTGTATTAATAATTTATCAAAGTGTATTTATTATGATTTAAAGTGTATTCATAATATTTAAAGTGTATTCATAACGGCGTTTCCATGGTTACAGGTGGCTGTGTGCACACCCTCACTGGTCACCAGTCCCTCACCAGTGGGATGGAGCTCCGGGAAAACATCCTGGTTTCTGGGAACGCCGACTCCACGGTCCGAGTGTGGGACGTAAGGAGCGGAAAGTGTCTGCACACCCTGCAAGGTGAGGACTCTTTAAAGTAGAGACACTACATACTGATATACACCTGAACATCAGCAGGAGAGGACTCTTTAAAGTAGAGACACTACATACTGATATACACCTGAGCATCAGCAGGAGAGGACTCTTTAAAGTAGAGACACTACATACTGATATACACCTGAACATCAGCAGGAGAGGACTCTTTAAAGTAGAGACACTACATACTGATATACACCTGAACATCAGCAGGAGAGGACTCTTTAAAGTAGAGACACTACATACTGATATACACCTGAACATCAGCAGGAGAGGACTCTTTAAAGTAGAGACACTACATACTGATATACACCTGAACATCAGCAGGAGAGGACTCTTTAACTCTTTTACACCTATTTACCAAAATATCCACATGACGGGGCAATAATTGACTTTACTTTAAATTAAGGCAGAGAGTTGTGAAGAAAATAAAAAAGCAGAAGTGCCATTCTGAGAATCTGCCAATATGATTAATGATTTATAATCAATACAGACTTTTACCAGAATAAAATGAAATGAATGTATATATTATAAACCCTAATATATTCTATAATAAAACATGTCTGGGGCTTTTATTTTGAAAAACAATGACAAACAGTGACCTTTTATTTTGAAAAACAGTATTATTTTAAGATAAAGTTACCTTCTGGGGCTTTTGTTTTTGAAAAACATCATTTATATGTAGTTTTACTGTTTAAAATACAATGACAGTTTGACAATTTATTTTGAAAACCAAGCCTCACTCTGAGCTTACTGTAAGGTTACACTTACTCTATTGGGCTTTTAATTTGAAAAACATTATAGTAACATTCAGGGGATATTATTTTGTAAAACAACAATTATATGTCGTTGTACTGTTGACATACAGTGACCTTTTATTTTGAAAAAATGCTTTTAAAAGAATCCAGAGTTACCATCTGGGGCTTTTGTTTTAAAAAACATTTGTTGTTTTTCTGTTAAAATACAGTGACAGTTTGACCTTTTATTTTGAAAATCAAGCCTCATCCTGAGCTTCCTGTAAATTTACAGTTAATCTATTGGGCTATTTTGCTCCTGATAACATTTTAAAAAACTGATAATCTGCCATTAAACCAATATTACCCTGTCCAATATTTCTCACACAACAGTGAGGATCTACTTTAGGTTTCTAACAGATTAATAATACATTTGAAAAAAGCATCAGATATACAATTACATAATTGCATATCTGAATATGATTGGCACTGTTCTTGATTACCATCAATGTTTTAAACAGTTATAAACTAAATTGTACACAATAAAAGTATATTACAAATACTGAAGGACATGTTTAGGAATTACTATTGACATTTGAAATATTTAGTTTGAATTATTTTATGAATTCTGTAATTTTTGGGGATTTTAGATTTAAATATTGTAAATGTATTAACTTTTTTTTTTATTAATGTAGGTTTTTGCTGCTAAGACATCATTAATGCCGTATGTTATTAATTTAAAGCAGAGCATCATCAGCACAAAGGTACATTTTTTATTCCACCTCTGCTAAACGTAAAACCCAGTTCTTTTGCGATATTTGAAGTTATTTTTGCGGTTTTCAAAATTGCGCATAAATAAAAAGTGCAAAATTGCACTTAATGTTTTGATTTATTGTCTAAAGGATATTCAAGGCAACATTCACGAAAACACAGCATATACTGGAGGTAAGATTGCAGTAGTTGCACAAACAATGCTGGGAGGTTCCATCAGTAATAATAAACTCAATTGGTGAGATTAAAAACAAATATTTAGGGGGTAAAATAAAACAAACACACATTAAATCTATTCAAACGATCAGTGATGACACAATAATTCACTCTGGGACCATTGCATTACTCCACGGAGTCCACTTACACCAACACAACTCATCACTTTCACTTCACAGCTGCAAAACAAGCGCTTTAACCCCGAACGTAATGACATCTTAAAACATCACCTTAATTAGGGAATCATTTGCCCTAGTGTCCTCTTTCACATTCTGACACAGATGCTCCAACCTTGAGCAGCCGTTATCTCCCTTAAGGAGGGGCTGCCCTAGCAAGTTGTTGTTGTTATTGTTGTGGGACACCTGAGGCCTGAGGCCTGTACTACGAAGCAGGATTTTCGCTTAGCCGGCTAACTTCAGGGAAAACTCTGGGTTTCCGGTCCTACGAAGCTGGTTCTCTTTTTAGCGGGCTAGATCTCCATGGTAATTTATGCTGTGCATACCTGCCCCGGAGCAGATTAGGTTGCGAGCTCAACTCAGTGAAAGCACCGCCTGCTGACCAATCAGAGCTCAGTGTGCGGAGTTTAAAGTGATCAAGTCATATTACAGGAGAAAGGAAATACAGAAAAGCTGCCGTTGCAGGAAAGACGGCCGGCAGAAATCACCGACTGTGTGAACGTGAACATTAATAGAATATCACCTCCCATCTTCAGAGCAATCTGACTATTATAACATTAGCGTTAAGAAAGCTTACTTAAATATCTGCCACAACATAAGTAACCGGATCAGAGTAACATTAAGTACAGTCCGCGGCATATCACATCATAATGTATCATATATCTCCTTATCTGAGTCAGCTGAGCCGTATCTGGCCGTGCAACACTCACAGTGTCACATACTGTATGCAGAAGTATTATTTTAAGCAACACATTAAGTTGATGAAACACTCGAGTCAAATGTAATTAAAGTCAGATCGTGTCTTAGACGGGGCAGTGATATCATAAACCTGTTAATGTACGCATTCAAACACTTGTTCTGTTACCAGCTGTATTCACCTTGCAGGTGCAGCTATGTG